TGGCACCATGACCTGTAGCACAGTGCTCTGGCATTGCATACTCTACACTGACCTGAAGGAGACCTGAGAGTCTTCTCTTCCCAAATTTGAATCACAGCCTTGATGTGGTCTTTCTTGTTTAATGTCCTTGTTTTTAATGTAAATGTGTTTAACTGCTTCTTGATTGTATTGGGTAGCATTGGGATAAGATTTTAACTGGGTATTCTTGAATTGCTTTTACAATAAACCAATTTTATAATTTAAAAAAAAAAAAGGAATTTGACCCTAAGTGTAAAATGCCAGTGGGAACATTATTTAGCTATAAAAAAAGGAATACTGTGCCATCTGCAAAAATGGGTGGGTCTTGAGGGTATTATACTAAGGGAAATAAGTTAGACAAAGACAAATACCACATGATCTCACTTATATATGGAAGCTTGAAATAGAAGCAGAGAGAACAGATAGGTGTTGGCTAGAGGCAAAGGTGTGGAGAGCAGACAAAATGGAGAAAGGGGTCAAGATGTATAAACATCCAATCATAAAATAAAGTTGGGAGATGTAATGTACAACATTGTAACTACAGTTACTACACTGCATATCTAAATGTTGCCAAGAGAATAGATCTTAAAAGTTTCTTATCACAAGAATTTATAATTATATATGAATAATGTTAACTAGCTTTATTATAGTTGTCATTTTGCAATGCATGCCAACTATCAAGTCATTATGGCACATATCTAAACTTCAAATGTTACAAAATGTTACAAATCAATTATACTTCAATTTTTAAAGAAAGATGCAAAAGGAAATAATTATAAAGGAATAAAGCACACTGACAATAGTTTTTTTATGAGATTAAAAAAAGGCAAAATAAAAAAACATAAGTTAACTGCCAGCCCCAAGTCATTATTAGGTTAATGGAGTTAATGCTGTGAGGTCATCATTTATTTGGTAAGGGGATAACTATACTAATAATATCAAAATTTGGCATGTTAAAAATGTACATGGTAATATCTAAGAAAAACATTAGAAAGACTCTAATCAGAAAATGTAAAAATAATTTTTAAAATTAATCCAAATGAAAGAAAATAGGATAGGGTAAATAGAAAACATATAAAAGATGGTGTATTTAAACCCAACATATTGATAATTATTTAAACACTATGATTAATAAAATTCTACTTAGGGTTACATATATGGATGGTCAAACTACTGGACTGTCAGAAAGGTCATAATGCATTTTTTGCTTGAAAAACAGAAAAAATGCATCATAACTTTTCCAATAGTCCAAATAAGGAAAAATAAACAATAAACACAAAAATCAGAGTAGAGAGGCAATGTATGTAGGTTTCCAGGCTACTAGAATATTTTACTTCATGACTGAAGTAATGATTAAGAGCTAAATTTACAATGATTCCTTAGAAATTTTTTTGGTGAAAGGCCAGACAAAAAGTACTTCAGGCTTTTTAGGTCACATGTCATCTCTATCATATATTCTTTGTCTCTCCAACTCTGTAAAAATCTACAATTCATTTCTCAGTTTGTCAGCTAAGGAGCTTACCAACTCCAGCATTAATGTTTTATACATTTTTTTTTGTACTTAAAAGAATATTAAAGAATCACTTAGGGGAGCAAAAGGAAAAGTAAGTCTTTTTCCATTATCCTTTCCTCTCAACAACATTTTGTATCAATATTTATGTCATGCATTTTTTAAAAAAATTGAACAAGTTCTCTCTCCCATGTCAAGTGGGCAAAGTAATTACAAGAATTACACCTTAAGTAATAAGTACTGTAAAAGATAGATAAGAGCAATGAACAACACAAAGCAAAATCCCTGCTCTCGCAGGATTAGCATTCTAGTGAGAGAATATGGGCAACAGATGAAGTGTAGAGTTAAAAATTAAAATATAAAAGTTAAATGCAAATATTAAAATTATACCACACGCCAATGACGGTGATTTGCAGTAATACACAACTACATAGATGGTGCTTGGCAAAGTCATGTTTGAATGAAAGAAAGTAGACACAAGAGTACATACTGCATAATCTTTCATACAAAGTGCAAAAGCAGTCATGTCTTTTTTTCCTTTAGTGTACAGTTAGGTTGTTTCCATATTTGAGAGACCCAAAGCAGACTAGTAGGTTTCAGGAGGTAGGGAGAAGGAGGGGGAGTATCTAGAAGGGAACATAAGGGGGTTTCTGAGGGAGCTCGCAATATTTTGTTTCTTGTGTGGATGTGCAGTTTATGAAAATTCTTAAGTTGTACACTAAAGGAAAAAAATCTGTATCAAAGTATGTCAGGTGGCAATAACTAAGAATGAAAATAAAGCAGGATTAGGCACAAGAGTAGAAAGGTGTGAGGGACTGTTATTTTAGAGAAGTCAATTGACCAAGTCATTTTTAAGCAATAACCTAATGAAGAGATTGCTAATCACGCTGTATCTGGAGGAGACACTCATAAGTATGTTTCACAGTGTTCAAGGAATGTCAAGGCCAGCACTGTGCAGTGGCACGAGGGACAGAGAACATGTGGAGATGTCAGAGTCGGGCAGATGGGTGAGCACAGGACAAACTGAAGTTTCTTAAACCATGTAAACCCAAAAGACAATGGACTAAACCAGTGGAAAGTTTTGGGTAGAGGAGCACCAGGATCTGTCTTACCCTTTTAACAGAATACCCTAGCTAATATATTAAGAACAGGATGAGTCAAGAGTAGACTCAGAGAAACCACTTGGGAGACTAATGCAGAGAGCCAGGACAATAGAAAAAGTGGTAAAATTCTGACATTTCAAAGGAAAAACAGGATTTACTGATGAACATGAGGTTATGACCTGAAAAACTGGATGGGTAAACTTTCATTTCATTAGGACAGAGCAGCCTGCAGGAAGAACAATTTGTTGTTTATCAGTAGTAAAGAGAAGGAAGCCATGAGGTCCTTTTTGGACATTTTCAAGCCGTCTATTAGATATATAAGTGTAAATATTGGGTCCTCCCTGGTGGCCCAGTGTGTTAAAGCACAGCACTATGAAGCTATTGTAGCCACTGCAGTATGAGTTCAATCCCCAGTCAAGGAGGTGACCCACATGGCACAGCAGACCTCTCCTGTTTCATCTGCTGCTCCCCTCTGCAGTGTTTTTCAGTATATGTGCCTGTTCTGATCCCCAATGTCTCTGGTGAATCCTTTCACCCCCATACCTCTGACTGTATCCCAATTCTGTATATATAAACAAATAAATCTTTTTTTTTTTTTAATAAATAAGTGTAAATATCAAGCAGAAAACTGGGTAGGTAATTATTAGGGAGACCTGCATTCAAAGTGAGGGCTGGAAAGTTTATTCAGTCTCAAAGGCAGGTGAGATTACTGATGACTTGGTAAGGTTGTTGTAGGGCATATGAAAGTTCTCTTCTGAAAGTTTCCATTTTCTTGGTAAAATGAAAAAACAAAGCCATCAGCTGAGATCGCAGAGGGGAAAGTGTTGCTAGAAGCTTACAGGGAACATGATACATTCATCTGGAAGTGGGCACTAAGCAAGCACAGTAGGACTGGCAGGTAGGTAGGAGTCCACATGAGATTAATGGTCAGGACCACTCAACATGGATTTTCGTCTCACCACGCTGAGCAGCTTAGCGGCAAGCAAGGGAAAGGCAGAAAATAGATGTAACCACTGGTGGGTTTTTCCAGGCAAGTATGATGGAGCATGAATGGAGGAAGGGATAATTCAGAAATCAGTGACCGTAGCAATGAAGCACAGCTACCAAGTCAGGAAGTTAAAGACTTCAGTGTGAGGGAAAAGAGAAACTAAAGCTTGGTAACGATTTCAACACCTAATACACACTTAGACTAATATGATGATGGGGCAAGTTACCATTCATACAAATGGCAGGAGTGTGTACAGATCATTGTGTATTTTATTTTCAGGCTTCACCTAAAATGATACATACTCATAAGAAAACAAAACAATATTTCAGGAAGAGTAATAGATGACAAAGTGCTACAAAACATATTTGTCCCAAATAGGTAATTCTGAAATCTCATTTAACATTTTTAAAACTTAAGGAAAACAAAGACACAGGCCTCCTCAATAGTTTTCTAACACACTCAAGTGGTTAAACAGATGTTTTTATATTAAACATTTGAAATATGGCATGGGTGATAAAATAGCAAAAATTTCAAGTTCAGTTCATCTTTATAAGTGCTCTAATAATTAGAGCCACTCTAATGAATGCATACTTCTATGAGATAGTAGAGGGGAGGAAGAGCATTTTAAAATACAGTACAGGAAACTACATCACTTAAGAACAGTATTAATCAACTCTGCTAATGCAGAGAAAAGCAACTCTCCTCAACAGGGACTTAGGATGAACACTTGTGATCTTAGGAAAACCCCCTTTCCCCCCCAAAAAAGCCACAGCAACACCTGAGACATCAGTGGATAGAGCATACTCTTGAATATAGTAACAGAGGTCTTGCAGAGTCTTGCCAAATTCCCCAAAGGCGTTCATGCCAACTGCCACAAGAACTACATGATTTCTCAGGATTTCTCAGCTGGCACTAGTGGCATTTTAGATCAGGTAATTATTTGTTATTGGGGAGGGGAGTGAGTGTCTCACAGGCAAAGAACAAACCTCTGCCTAATAGCATAGCATTGGCTTCTCTACTACATCACTGAGTAAACCTTGAAGTTAATCCAAATGCCAAGAGCTGATGGGATTTAAATAATATTTAGTTATAGGAACATATGAACTTTACAAAGAAAAACCTAATGTTTAGATTAGAACCCACTTCCTTCACAAAACAATGGGCTGCATGTTTACAGTAACACATTAGACTATAAGAATAGGTTTAGTTCTTATTACTGATCTCTATTTGAACCTAGAAGGGATTCATAGGTGATACTATGAACTTTTCTCAGTAAGTCCTCTTTCCCCTTGGGTAACTGAGAGAAGAGAAACTTTGCTTGTGTGTCACTGGCTTCTCATCTCCTACAACAGGTGTCAAATTTCTCCAGGTGAATGCTTACCGGTAAGGGATTGGATAAGGAATGTTGCGGTGAGGATCGTGCAACTGGTGGAACACTTCTGCCAGGGCTGGTTCCTGGCCCGCTTCCCCCAGCAAACTGGCCAACAGGGAAAAATGGATATGAATAATTCAAAACAGTACTATGCTTCAGATAAGGAGAGTAAAAGATTAACACACAAACAGCTCTTTATTATACATGGCCCCTTTAAGTCAACACATCTTATGCCAGAGAGAAAATGCCAGGTAAGCCAAATTTTGCTGTCTTTTCAACGAGATTTTTAAGAAGAAGTTCCAGCAGAAATGTACCAAGATAAAAAGAAAATATGGCTAGGAAGCTGAAAGTACACATGGTTTTGAAAGGCCATAGGAAAAGAATGTTTTCCCTTCTTATCTCAAGATACATGAAGCAGGAATACAGGGATACAGTGGATGTTAGCGTTTTCTTTAGTTACCACTAAAGACAAGTTCCACTGGGCTAATGGGAAGAGGACAAAAGAAGAGTTCAAGCCATTCCACTGCAATCTTTGTCAGACACGAAACCTAGTCCGGCCAAAAGAAAAATCACCTCATTTGTGAATTTTTATATCATCACAGAAAGACACATAACAAGCAAATTTAAATTTAGGAAGTCAGCAGTTTCCTCTTATATAGAGAGTTGGGGGGGGCACATTAGACCAATGAAGATGGGGAGCAGAACATAGCAAAGGCAAAATATTGCTTTCTAAAGCCTTAAAAAATGAACAGAGATTAAGATTTTTAAAAATCACTATAGATTTTTTTTCCAAAAATTTAACTTACCTCGAAGTAATCACTAATTTTATGTCCCCTAGGAGTGCCTTTTCCTGAAAACGAAACCAAAGTAAGTATCGACACACATGTAAAGCACCATCCACTAATATACATTATGTATTCAGTAACTGCATGTATTATCAATTCAAGTATCAGCTTTACTTTTAACAAATGAGCCATGCTACCCTTAAGATATATCTTAATTCGCCAGTTGGTCTGTTCTGCTCTCCACTTTGTCTCTGGTGACTCTTCTCACCACCCCAGCACCTCTGGCCTGTACCCCAGTTCTGTGTGCATAAATAAATAAATCTTTAAAAAAAAAAAAAAGCATACATTTTAAGAATAGACACATTTTCCTCCATAACATAAAGGCTTAATAAACAGAAAAATTTGCTTTCTTCCTATGGTTCACTAATCTTTCTTTTACAAATACTTAAAAACTATGCTACAATGATGAGAAAAAAAATAAAAAAATAATCCACACCCCCAACTAAGAGAACAATTAGAAACAAATAGTATATAGTACTAAAGATCTAGTCTGTATCACACATGCACACACAAAAAAACTTCATGTGATCCTGTCACTTGGGACAATTTTCCCCAAGAAAGTAAAAAAGGTTTGCAGAGTAAAGAAAAAATAAGAAAAATGTATAAAAGACTGGGACTTCCATTTCTTGGAATGCAGGCAAGAAGTGAGCAAAACCATTCTATTCTTCCTTTAATTATACAAACTGTTCTTGCTTTATTTATACAAAACCAAACTATCTATTCTTTCTTTAATTAATCTTACTTAATTCTAAGACTTCTAACATTATGTCAGCATATTTACAGATTTATTTCACTGGACACCGATGTTCAATTAAGTAACTGACATGGAAGAAAAGGGGGAGAAGGGGGTAGGCAGTCATGTCAATGAAACTATTTCTGGTCACCTATTATTCACAAATCACAGATTTAAACACAAGACTGAAAACTCCAGTATAAATTCTTGCTTGTACAATGTAGCATTAGTCTGAAGAAAAACCTGTGGTGAGAAGATAGATAACTTACAACAGGGAAAACAGGAGTCCCCAAAGAAGGGACACTGTTTTGTGAAGTGTGTATCAAGCAGTAAGTCTATAATAAACAGTTTGATATTCCCTTAAGATACACAAATCTCTTTTTGTTAGGAGTCCCAATATATTAACTAATTATTTAATGTAAGCTGGAAAATTCTAAGTACAGAAGAATTTAGTATTTTTATTGGTGCGAAATTACTATTACCTTGGCTGGTTTCATATGGTTCAGCTTTTCTTTTCCGGTTTCGCTGGTCATTCTGTTTTTTCTCAGGAGTCTGTTAAATACCATATGCATTACAATTACCGTTTTGTTAAATGTTTCACATTATAAAAAATGGGACACACACACACAAACTACCACATTTTTACGGCAAGTCAACTATTGCCCTGCTCTTGGAGCAAGGTTGTGGAAAGAACCCAACCACCCAGACATCCTAGTAAGCTGCTTGCCACATCAGAGAACTGTCTATATGTCAGGCTTGCTGAAAAGCTTCAATAAGATAATTTTACAATGCAAATGTAGCACAAATAGTAGTAGAGGACAGTTACAGTATTTCTACTTAAAAGAGCTTAACCCAACCTCTTTTTTCCTAAAAAGATGTGTATGATTAATCAGTCGGCTAGAATTTATTTAAAGTTTTAAATTAGAAGTAGGTGATTTGAAGATTTTGAGCCACGTTCATGCAGGTAGTTTATCTGCCTTTAAAACAAAAACGTTCAAATTCTGTTACAAAAATCAGCAAGGCTAAACTGATCCACTTTGTTAAGAACCAACATTGTTAAAATTCAGGGGTACCTATTAGCTAATTCAGTTATTATCAATAGAACCTTGGCAAAAATATTCTTAGAACCTGCCATGGCTCCATTCAGCTGTGCAGACACAGAGAGCACACAACTCAAAGGGGAGTCTGCAGAGACCCTAACAGCATCCCAGATTGTGCAGTTTTCTTTTAACCCAGAATTAAAGAGTGAGAATATAAAAAGTCTTGCAGTGGTGTGGCTCCTTACCTCTACTTCTTTATCACTCAAGGACCCCACGCTGCACAAGCTCTGATTGGAAGACTCACTATTGAGTGGCCCCTGGAAGAAAAAACAAGAAAATCAAAATAAACTAAGATGACAGCAAACCTAGGCAAGAAACCAGTTGACTTTCATGTCTAAATCTAGTAAAAAAGATGCCAGGAGTTCAACTTGAAAACAGTTCATTTCTACACTACAGTGCCCTTGTGTTACAATTCTCTAGTTTCTATTATTTCCATTTCCTTTACAAACTCATTAATTGTGCAGATTTCTCCCTTTGAGACTTCTTCTGCATATAGTTAATTCATTCTTTAAGGAAAATAAGCAGGGGAATCAATTCTCTAGGCGTATTATATCATTTGAGTAATATCTGAAAGTTGCGATGTCAGGAGAATGTTAAGGGGTCCTCATGGGGGTGGTCAGGAGACAATGGGGGGAAATGCTTTCTGAGCCCTTCCTTAAGGAGGTTACTGCTTGCTCAAAAATCAAAATTACAAGCAATTGACCTCTGGCAAAAAAGAATGAGGAGCTCCAGTGAAAGTGGTGAGAATAACAGGAAAAATCAACTGTCCAAAGCCTCTGTTGTTTGGTTCCCTCAGAGCAAAAAACAAATGAAGAAAACAACAACTGTTTGATAAAGTATGTGAAAATTCAGTCTGAAAAGTGAAAGTTTGTGGTATGTGAACCAAAAGTACTGTCTCCCTCCACCCCTGCACCTTACCTAAGCTTCAGACTGCTGCAGCCAAGGACATGGACTCCCAACCCCCTTCCTTCAGCTCTCAGTCTAAAAGGACTTTCTTCCCGAGAGCAGCAGACCTCAAGTTTTTCAGTCAATGAGGCTAAGTCCCAAGTTAAGTGTCACCAAAGGGAGGGACTCCCCTCTGCCCAAATCCTGTCGTGGAACAAGAGTCTCTACCTTAGGCAAGGCACACTGAGGACACTGGGACCAAGCAGCACTTCCACCCCCATCAAGGGATGGTATTCCACCGCAGGAGACAAAGCAAGAAAACACCAGGCTGCTGCCCATGCCCCTCAGACCCCTCCGGAGCGCAGCAATCAGAGCCAGAATGCCACTCGCAGAAAAGCTTGACACTGTCCCTACACCCTGCTCTGGAATCTTGGCTCAGATGTTTTGTTTAGTTGGGGAAAGCAGGAACTCATAATACCAATTCCCTTCCCCGCACGTCCTAACAGAATGTGAGATAGTTTATGTCTAGGAGTGTTTCCAAGAAAAGGGGAGACTGTGGTAAAAGGCAACTGAGAAGAGATTCATGGATAGAGTGAAGACTCAACCTAGATTGTAAGTCAGCCTGGAGAAGCCCCTCCGGGGTCAAACAAATACAAGCAATAAAGCTCAGAAACTCTTCCGAAGAGCTCCAAGTTGTCTGTATTACCATAAGTTTGATGTCGCAGGGCACTGTTACTAGGCAGTTAGAGGAGATTGATGGCTAGAGGTCAAGGGACGAAGGAGCTCTATCAGCCTGTACCAGTACGAGTACCACCCATCCCAGGGTAACCACAGGCAAACCTCAAGCGTGGGTCCCTGAAGAGCATCAACAGTATAACTGGGGCAGCTCGTGAGTATGGAATGAAGGTGTAGAATAGTCACTAAAATAATCCAGTCAGTCTCTAAACAAATAAGCAAATAAATAGCAAGTTCAAGGGCTAAAATGAAAAATCAGTACCAAGAGTTGCTACAATATATCATCTAAAATGACCAGTTTCCAATAAAAAATAATGAACTGTGTGAGGAAGAGGAGGAAAAATAGCAGACAACAGAAATTGCCTATGAGAATAACCAGATATTGAATTTAAAAAAATAATGTTTCAAAATAGTCATTATAAATATGTTCACAGAACTAAAGGGAACCATAAGTGAAGAAGGTATGAATGACAATACTGTATCAAATAGAGCATATCAACACACAGAAATCATGTGTGTGCATGCATGTATGTATATGTAAGGAAGACAAACGGAATTCTGGAGTTGAAACATACAACTGACACTTAAAAACTCACCAGTGAGGCTCAAAAAGTAGAACAGGCAAAAGAAATAATTAGCAAATGTGAAGATAGAGACTATACAAGCTGGAAAACAAGAAATAGGAACAGAAATTCAAAGAAATTGGCAAAGTGTTACAGACAACATCATGCAAGAAAGGAGCAGGAAAACTATTCAGGGCAATAAAAGTTGAAAACTTATCAACTGATTAAAAGTCAGTTAACTTACACATGCAGGAAATTCACTGAACTCAAAGTAAGATAAACACAGAGACCCACAAACAGGCACATCATTCAAAAAATATTCAAAGGCAAAGACAATGGAGAAAATCTTGAAAGCAGAAATACAATGCATTACTTATGAGGGAACTGCATAAGTAAAATTAACTATTGACTTCTGACCAAAATAATGGAAGTCAAGACCGCAGGATAACATACTCAAAGTACTTAAAGAAAAACAAAGTCAACCATGAATCCCCTATGTTGAGCAAAGGATGCTTTCAAAAATGAAGGCAGGGGCCTCCCTGGTGGCGTAACGGTTTGTTAAAACTCAACACTATGAAGCTCTCCTCAGCCACTGCGGCATGAGTTCCACCCCCCAACTCTCACCAGGGAGCTGACACACAAGGTGCAGCAGACCTCTCCTGTCTCCTGCTGTGTCTTGCCCACTGCTCCCCACTCCCATAGCAGTGTGTTTCAGTCTGCCTGTTCTGCTCCCTACTCTGTCTCTGATGAATACTCTCACACACACACCCCACCACCAGTTCTTGTATGCATAAATAAATAAAATCTTTAAAAACAAAAAAGAAGACAAAGGAAAGACTTCGTCAAGCTGACAAAGGGTACCCTGAAAAAACTACAGCTAACATCACACTTAGTGAAAGACTATATCCCCCCCATATCTGGTATAAAAAACAGATATTCATTTTCATCAGTCTATTCAACATTGTACCAAGGGTTCTATTCAGGCAATTAGACAAGAAAAAGAAATACAAGATATTCAGATTGGAAAGGAACAAGTTAAACTATCCCAGTTCATGGATGAAATAATGCAAAAATCCTAAGAGATCCAATAAAATACTATTAGAAATGAGTTCAACTAAGATTGTAGGTTTACAAGATCAATATACAAAATCAATTTTCTTTCTTTTTAAAGCAATTTCATCCCTATAAATTTCATATAACAATCTAAAAATAAAATTAAGACAATTCCATTAGCATCAGAAACAATGAAATACTTGGGAATAAGGAATAAAACTTATACTGTGAAAAGTATTTAAAAAATTATTCTAAGAAATTAAGTATCTGTGAGATAATGAAAATACATATTGGCTTCTGCTCCTAACTCTTACACAGAGCCCCAGAAGTCCTTGTAATTTCGTAAATGAGAACAGGAGTATCCTTTGTTCTATTATTTTGGTCTTTGGCCCTTGGTATATGTATCACCCTATCCTTGGGTGATAGCAGTGTCTTCTGTTTTAAAATGAGGGAACTTTTGATGGGCTCCTGGAAAGACCAAACAAGGATTAGAAGGCTTGAGGTTTTTCAGCCATGCCTCCCATTTTTGTGTGAGTAGGAGAAAGGCTGAAAATAAAATAAAGTTATTGATCAATCATGCACATGTGATGAACCCACCAAAAAAATTGCAATAGTATTAGACTCGGTGGCTTTCCAGGTGAGTGAACACATCGACACCAGGAGGATGCCACACTCCCAAATCCAAAAATAAAAAGTGTCCTTAGTCGGCACTCTCCCAGGCCTCACCTTATACAGCTCTTCATCCAGTTGTTAATTTGTAATCTTTATCACAGTCTTTAATAGACTGGAAAATGTAAATGTTTCCAAGTTCTTGAACCACTCTAGCAAATTAAGTGAACATGAAGAGAGGGTCATAGGAATCTCCAGATGAATATGTTAAGAGAAATAAAAGGATATATAAGCAAAAACTTGGACATAAATGTTTATGGCAGCATTATTTTAAAAAGTCAAAAGGTAGAAACAATCTAAGTGTCCATGAGGTGAAAATGGATACACAAAATCTAACAGATCCATAGTGTGGAATATTATTTGATCATAAAAAGAATGAAGTACTAATACATTTTGTTAAATAAAATAAGTCTGTTTGAATAGATCGTATATGAAATTATTCCATTCATATAAAAAGCTAGAATGGAAAGTGAATTACTAGTTTACTCAAGGGAGGAAAGGGTAGATATAGTGGTGATAGCTAAAGAGTATGGGAGTGCTTTTTAAGGAGATAAAAGTATTCTAAAACTGTCCTGACAGTTATAAGCATGTGAGAATATACTAAAAACTACTTATCTGTACACATGGTAGGCAAGTTATATGGTATATATGAATTAGTCATATGGTATATGAATTATATCTCAATAAAGCTGTTAAATAACAGTTAGTAGGCTTAGTGTCAGAAACAATTTGCATCCCTATTAAGGTATATTAAGAATTCCTTTCACTGTACCTTAAAGCACTATTTTAAAACTATAATTAACACAATATACCAGAATTTCATAGTGAACTACTTGTGAAGCTGCAAAGAGAATAAACTAGGGAAAATAAATCAAAATCATGTATCCTAGTGACATAAATCAAAAGATTGTTTCCAGTGATAGAGTTTCGTGATGAATTAAATGTTTTATTTACAGAAGAATTTCAGAACATTTTAAACTGATTGTTTCTATGGCCATTTTTTTAAAATTCTGTTCATTTAATATCTTTATGGTGACCATTATGATGCCTATATTTCCTGAAACCATAATTAAACTATATACTAAATTTTAAACCACATACTTTAATTCTCCATTTACCCACCATGTCCCTCACTTTCAAAAGAAAATGGTTTAAGTATGATGAATAAAGACAAAAGAGAACTGAAGACCCTATTTCTTATTAGTAATTATTAAAATAAACTACAAAGTATTCACAACAGTGGCATACACTATAGAGTTTGAAATACCAATGCAAGAGCAGAAGGAACCTTGTGGTTCCTTGAGTATGTGTCTAACCAAAAGGAAAGGGGATTTAGAATTATTGAACCCTCA